GAGCCTAGCGAGATGTCTTGTCTTTCTGTTCTTGCAAGCGACATGAGTTCAGTTCCCGCACCCACTTCAGATGGTTCACAACTACCACAACTACCTGCAGATGCAGCTCCAGGAGAGCCAGCATCCTCCTCTGGCCTGCACAGACTTCCTCCAACAAAAGCCACACCTACTTCAGCAAGGCCACGCCTTCTAATAGTGCCACTCTTTATGGACCTGTGGGGGCCATTTTTATTCAAACCACAACACATATAAAAACATAAACATGCCTGTTTAAAAAGTGTAGAATCCTTAGCATAGTATGTGATTGGACATCTGCCTATTCTGTTGGCATTAAGGTTGTACTAAGCTGTTTAAATCTCCCTAGCAGACATCTTGGGATTTTGTTGCTTTATTTTTTACTTAAGAGTGTCCTTGAACCTTACTTCCTGTCCTTGTTAAGTTAATTATACTTTTTGATTTCCGTCCTCTACTGTCTTCTCCCCTGGGGGTAGCCTTCTTTCCTGAGTCTAGGGCTAAATTAAGTATCTGTTGCTTTGTGCTGCCACAGCACCCTGGGCAGACGTTTCCTAGATACTGGTCAATGGCAATCAGACAACCAAGCATCCTGGCTTACATCTGCATAAATCTAATCCCCCATTAACTTGTTCTTGTCATGAAACTGTGAACACCTTGACAGTTCAGATTGATTATATGCTCGTTAGGTTTTTAAGACTATTTCTTCAGCTACATCAGGAGGACTTTGGTGCCTAGCTACAGTGTTCATTGTAACCAAGTTGTTTAAATACTATTTGCATGCATGCATATATATATATATATATATATATATATATATATATATATATTAAGGAGGAAGTCTGTGCAGGCTAGAGGAGGATGCTGGCTCTCCTGGAGCTGCATCTACAGGTAGTTGTGGTAGTTGTGAACCATCTGAAGTGGGTGCAGGAACTGAACTCACGTCGTTTGCAAGAACAGGAAGACAAGACATCTCCCCAGGCTCAAGAGTCTACATTTTACCTTAAAGTATGTATATATATATGTGTGTGTGTGTGTGTGTGTGTGTGTGTAATGTGCATTCTGCCCTATTTCAATTGCACACAATTTCCTTACTTAACTTTATCTTTTATACACACACACACACACACACCACTGAAGGTCTTCTAATATGCTGGCCAAGTTTGTTGATTATGTTTATAGTCTGCCCTTCACCAATATCATCTGAAAAGGCTCTGTTTCAGTAATTTGTGTATAGAAAATACCTTTTGAAGTACCTGGCACATAATAGGTGCTCAGTAAATAAATAAATATATATATATAAATATATATATATATATGGGAAGGTAGGGCAGCATAATATAATATATATTAGATTTGCCAAAATAAGAATGTCTCTTTGGGAGCTCTTTTTCTTGTTTTTTGAGACTGAGTTTGGATTCATGACTCTTCCTGCCTCAACCTCCTCAATGCTATTACAGACGTTTGTCTAGACCTAATTCTTTATTCACAAAACAAAAACTTACGGATATCAAAAGGTCATTGCTACTTTTCTTAAGGACACACATATACATAAACCCTTACTGACAACCAACTATTGCTCACATGACAACTTCTCTAACAGAAATATAGAAGGTAAGTTATCGTAGTTTTTAAAAATGTATTTTATGGGCATGAGTGTTTTGCCTGCATGTATGAGTGTCTGCCACATGCCCGCCTGGTGCCATCAGAGGCCAGAAGAGGGCATCAGATCCCCTGGAACTACTGTTAAACTGGCTACGAGCTGCTACGTAGTGCAGGAAATCAAACCCTGCAAGAAAAAAAAGTGCTTTTAACCACTAAGTCATCTCTCTAGCCCCCACTGTAGTTTCTTTTTTGTTTATTTGTTTGTTGTTGTTGTTTTTTTCGAGACAGGGTTTCTCTGTGGCTTTGGAGCCTGTCCTGGAACTAGCTCTGTAGACCAGGCTGGTCTCGAACTCACAGAGATCCGCCTGCCTCTGCCTCCCGAGTGCTGGGATTAAAGGCGTGCGCCACCATCGCCCGGCTCCCACTGTAGTTTCTAAACAGAGAAATTTCTACCAAGTAATTTTTAGAGGGGCTGGAGAAATGGCTCAGTGGTTAGGAGTCTGTCCTGCTTTTGCAGAGGACCTGAGTTCACTCACACAGCGGCTTACCACCACCTATAGTCCACCCAAGGGAATCAGATGCCCTCTTCTAGCCTCCAAAGGCACGCCCTCACACACAGACACACATATACATAATTAAAAAATGAATCTCAAAAGAAGTTTGTAGAAATTATTCTTCCTTATTGCATTGTGTACACATATCTGTGAAAGGAGGGTACAGAAGTTAGTGACATCTGCCAAACAGCCATATGCTTCATCTTTTAATTGTTTCCTTTAAAAAGGAAAAACATGTACTTTTCTCTCTTCAAAGCTCATATATGTAGGGGTCTTAAAGTTACCCCAGAGTGCTGAGACAGTATTGTTCACTCACGTTTTCAGGGCCTGCTCTTTGTCAGTGTCTAAGACGGTCAGCAACAGTCTTTGCCTCCTGATACTGTAGCAGCCAGCCATGGTAAGCTAAATAGGAACAGATCACCCAAAGGAAGTTCTTTACTTCCAACCATTATCACCTGCCAGAGTAGGACTCAGCTATCAGTTAAGTTTAATGGAGGCCTGGATCTCTCAGCAGCTTACCCTGAAGCAATACCTGGTTGCAGGAAAGATCATAAACTAAGATTACCTAAGCAACACCTGAGAACAGACCATCCAAAGGAAATGCCTAACATTCCAACTACTGTAGATAGGATCACCTGCCAGCACACACTCACCAGGACACCCCTAGACAAATGTCAGCCAATCAGGGGTCTTGAACCTCAGAAACCCCTCACCCCCACCTTTACTACTATAAAAACCCAACCCTAACTTAGCTTGGGGCTCTCCATTTATTCCAATACGTTGGACATGCAGAGAGACTGAGTTTGCAAACTTGCATAAAATAATTTGCTTTTACATACAGGACTAGGTCTTCTTGTTGGCTTTTGGCGGGGAGTTCATGGATTTGGGCATAACAATAGTCACTCTACAATGAATATCTGAATATTCTGCTTGCTGGGATTCATCACTGTACAGAGTCTAACCCAGAAGTGACAAATATGCCTTCCTGAAAGTGTCTGCATCTGTGTAAGCAATGTAGAATGCACTCTTCAGCCACTATCAAGCCTTCAGATGACTGCAGCCCCAGTTGACAATCTGCTGCAACTTCGAGAATGTGAACCAGAACTTCACGCCCATATTCCTGACCTGTAGTAAAGTTGCCATAGTAAATGATTTCTATTGTTTTAACTATTCCTGATTTGTAATGGAAACAAATACATAAGTCCACTTCCCTCCCTGTTCAGTGTTGGGCATCAACCCCCGAAGACTGCCCGAGCTTCATTCCCTCCAAAACAGATTTCTTTTAGCAGAAACAAAATTGGACTGTGTAAGTTAAGTTTATTTTATTAAGTTCATACAACAGTAGAGCACAGTTTTTATATAATAACTAAACCAAATAAAAAAATTCAAGTTAAAAAGCCAAAAACATTGCAAAAATACCCAAAGAAAAAGCAATCTAAGGGGTTGAAGAGATGGCTCAGTGGTTAAGCGCTCTTGCTGCTCTTCCAGAGGACCCGACTTCAGTTTCCAGCATCCAAATCACGCGGCTCACAACCACATGAAACTCCAGCTCCAGGAGACTGGATAGGCCTCCCTGGCCCGGTAAACTCACATAAATGAAAATCAAACAAAATTCAACAAAACAAAAGTCAATCTTAACATAATGAGGGACTGAAGGTGTAGCTCTTCGGTAGAGTGCTTGCCTAAAATGGATTAATAAACCCTGGGTTCCATCCCAAAGAACTGCATAAAAACCACAGGTGTTGGCGCAGGCTTGTAATCTGTGCACTTTCGAGGTGGAGACTGACGGATCGACAGTTCAAATCATCCTCGGTTGCTAACTCTCAATCAACTAAGTGGGGCAGGAGGCGACCAAGGCTCAGTTGCCTTTCTGAGATGAAATCGCCGCTCAGTGGCACTATGGGGCTGAGCCAGAAGTGGTTCCAAGGAAGTACGCCCTTTTCCTAACGCCGGCAGGAGGTGGATCTTCTGGAAGCCCTCTGGAAACTCCCACATATTTGGTCATCTTAGGCTTCCTCAACTTGCGGGAACTTTTCAAAGTCATGCGGTAGCCGCAGCTCTTATTCCCGTTCTTCTGACAGTGATCCTCCTGAGGAGAATGCGGACGCCAAAGGCCAGGGGCGGCAGCATCCTCCAGGTCCGGGGTTCTCCTCCGCCCTCGCTTTCCAAAGCGAGGCCTGGGGCTTCCAGTCCTCCTCACCCAGCGTCGCTAACTGGAGGGCAGCCGGGAAGTCCCCGCCGTCCTCTTAAGGAGGTATGTCGCGGGAGCGCACCCCTATCTCGATCAGCGCTCAGGCGCCATGCAAACCTGCCCTGGCTGGGCAACTGCTCCTCGAGGCCACGCGCCCTGCAGAGCTGCCCACAGCTGAGCCGGTCCGACAGCAACTCCCGCAGAGACGTGCGTGTTCCGTATGCGCAGTGCCCGCCTCCACCACTGGGGGGCACTAGCACGAAGACGGCTGCGCATGTTCCGTGTGCCTCCAAGGGACAGCGGCCTTGGAGACGCGCGTGCTCTCTGCGCGCTCCGCCTCCGCCAGCGCCCTGCAACTGAGCGCGCGTAGCACCACGGGAAATGTAGTTTCTAGGGCCTGGAATATCAGACACGCCTCCCGCCTGGGTTCAGCGCGGGACTACAGCTCCCAACCATTCGGTAGACGGGCGGTGCGGGGACGCGGACTAGAGGGCGGGGCGAGAGCGAGGAGGGCGGAACGGGTGGGAGGGCCGCGCGCGCGGGGGCGGGGCTCCGGCCTCGGAGCCGCTGCCGTTTGCGGTCCGGACCAGAGGCGCGAGCCGAGGACACAGCGCCGAGTGCGGCCGCGGTTGCGGGCGCGGGTTGGAGCGCGGGCGCGAGCCCTGCCGGTGGCGCTCGGTGCTCTTAGGTCCCCTCGCTCTCGGCCGGGACGCGGGAGAGAGCGGCGCGCGGCTGGGGCGCGAGGTGGTGCGGGCGGGGGCGGCCAATGCGAAACTGGCTGGTGCTGCTGTGCCCGTGCGTGCTCGGGGCCGCGCTGCACCTCTGGCACCTCTGGCTGCGCTCCCCGCCGCCCCCCCGCGCCTCCGGGCCCGGTGCGGCAGGTGAGGTGCCGGGGCTCGGCGGCCGCGCGCGTGGGAGGCCGGGGGCGGGGGGCAGCCGGGCGGGTGCGGACGTCCCGGGACAGGCTGAACAAACGAGTCTTTTCATCCGCGTCGGGCGAACTCGACTGTGCGGTCCTTCTCAGCGTGTGCTCAGGGCCCACGCCGTACCCGAGGGGCCTTGGTTACAACTTGGGGGGGGGGGACTTCTCTCAGAGGGGGTCCGCGAGCGCACCGGTGCTGGCTTTGCACATCAGGACTCACTTTGCAGTAAGGAGGGGACTGGCTGCACTTTGCGGTCTCTGATCGTGAGGTGAGCCGGTGAAACACATCTAGATGTGAAATAGGGCGCAGCTCTGAGTGGAGTCGTCCCTGCGGTTCTGCTTGGGTAGCTTCCTAGTAAAGGAGCCTGGGAGTACCGGATTCTTTAACTCTCGAGTCCATTTGTTCCCAAACTTCTTCCCTCGTGGGAATGAAAGCTTTGTTCTCATTCGCTCAGCGTTGTCCCATCACCCTGAACACTACCTTAGGGTCTCTTGTGTGTCTTACTCAAGTTTTTCCCAGAGAGCCTGTAGAAGGAGACTTAGATGGCTATTTTAAAGATAGGGCAATGCTTGTTTTAGTTTTTTTTTTAAACTACGTTAGGATTTATCTTTCCATTTCATATCCAAACAGCTGTTTTCTTTTCAGAAAGTTTAAAAACAGGCCTTCCCAGTCAGCACAGGGCTGATTCTCTAATAACGTATTTAGCAGTCCTCAAGACTCTCCTCCAGCTGTTACCAGATTACACTGGAGTTATTTTAGTAATGATCGCTTTTCCTGTTAGATGAACCCCAGCTTTTGGAAAGGTCATTTGTGTGACTGAAAAGAATTAACCACGTAAGTGGTATAGTGAAAAACACACCATTATATGTGTGTTTAGCTTGCTAAACAGGTGGGACTTTTACAAATTAGATAAGAAAAGTCGTGCGTACAAAATACTTTGCAACCTAAACATCTGTTGGGGTTGTGTTTTATGGGTTTCTTTCTCTTTTTCTTTTAAATAAATGAGTGAGTTGCTGGAATCTGCTTGGAGAGCCAGTGTAGAATATATGTGACCCTAACATTAGCAGTCTTTGGGGTTCACATAATAAACCTTGCCTTTGAGCTTATATTTTAGTAAGCCTGCAAGCAATTTTTTGTGTTTGAAAAAGATTTTTCCTGTCCGTTTAATGTTTGATGTTTAATGCTTTAGAGTTTATCCGTTTAGATTAAACTAGATTAAGGAAGCAAGCTGAGGAACCCTCAGGGTCATATAGGGTCATTCTAGTTGTAAAAATTAATTTTGTGTTGCTACTGGAGCTTTGTCAGATAACATTTGACTATAAAGACAGATTCCTTTCCCATTCTCCTCCCTGACACTTCAAAAACAAACGCAGAAGTATTTTGGTTGCAAAAATTTACCACAGGGGTTTTTTTTTCCTATTTTGCTGTTGAAATATTTAAAACATTTGGGCATGTTTATGTTTTGATCCCATACATTAAGCCTAAAACCTGAGATTTTACTAAGTATCTTCCTCTTGAATTAGCATTTTAGAACTTACTTGTTCTCTTTTCTGCTCCTCTGTAGTTCCATTCAGCCATACTAGTAATTTCAAAAATTTATTTGTGTATGTATGCACGTTGATATGCCACAGCACTCTCGTAGAAGTCAAAGGATAATTTAAGATCAGTTCTCTTCTTCCACCATGTGGGTTCTGGGAATCAAACTCGGAACGTCAGACTTGGGGCAAGTCCTTTGACCTGATGAACTATTTGAAAGCCCAATCATTTTTTGAAAGGGAAATTTACTTTTTCTGAATATTAGAAAAACCCTTTTGGCTGACAGTTCTTTCAGCAAACAGATAGCTACTGGGCCATCTTTTCTTGTAGGCTGGAATTAGCAAATAATCAAAATAAAGAGCCTGCTCTCCAGATGTTAACCATTTGAAAGGGGAGACAGTAAGACTATGAGTGTTAATGTCACGGGATGGTGAGGATGCTGAAGGAAAAATGAAGTTTTCTCTAAGAGGGTAAACAGATAGATCAAGGAAGACCACTGTGAAGAGGTGGCAGCTGAGCAAGGACCTGAGGGAAGCGAATGAGTCATCTTAGTACTAAGATTAGCAACTTTTCTATGTAGGGGCTTTAAACAACACTGGTGAGGAGGCCTCTTATGCAATATAGCGCACCAGAGGCACAAAGAGCAAAGGAAATACAGGCTTTGGACCAGGGGATATAAACTGACTTGATCTCTGTGTACTGTTGCACATTGCCTTATAGGAATTGTGTAGTGGTGAATGTAGGAAGGTGTGACCGAGAAAAGGCTTGTCTTTGTAAGATATCTGGAAAGAAGGAAGCCAGACTTGGAAAGAAGAGGAGCTTATGTATGATAAGTACATACTTGGAGAGCTAGGTGTAGGGCTGGATACCTCGTTCCAGCATGTTCCAGACAGGGCAAGCAGTTCAAAGAAAAATTGAGCTTGATGCCCCACTTTTTGCCTAGGGCTGGTTCTTCCAAAATTACCCCTCTATGCTGTATCTCAGGGTTTTAGTTTCCATGTCTAACTGGTGATCTATAAAGATTTGTTCAGCAAAACACTTACAACAGTGCCCAGTCACTGTAAACACTCCAGGAATTCTGGAGAGTATTGGTATTAGGGAGGTGGCTACAGCCTATGCCAGTATGCTTCGTTGACGCTGGCAAGAGCACACTAGTTTTGCAGTGACTATTTCATCAACAGATCTGTGATGGGCTCTTATGTTTTCCTTATTTTCAAGATTTCTGCCTGATTGTGATGGATGGTGTCTAAGAGCATACACATGAGGGTTTTCTTTCTTTGTTTGTTTTATGACTTTTTAGGCTTATTTATCAGTTTTGAGGTCAATGTCCCTTAAGACTTTAATGTCCACGGTCATTGCAAAGTTTAGCAGGTTGCCAGACTCTCGGGATAGATTATGTCTTAATATAAATAGTCATTGCTCTTGGGGCACTTGCTTGGGGTTGTGAGCTATTCCTGTCATTGTGGAGATCTTGTTCCCTGTGGGCCTGTGCCAATTAGCACAGCAGACATAAGAAGTGTTCAGTCTGAATGAGCAAATCAAGAGAATGTAACGGAGAAGATACTAATTTTCTACCTGTATCATCTGTTTACATGCCACGAGGACCTTATAATTTAAATATATTTCTTTCATAAAGGGAAGCAAGTTCTGTGGAGGAAAAGTTGAAATTATTTTTAAATGAAAGGAAAGAAACATGATCTGTATTTCTAGACTATTTTCAATATAATATCTATTTTGAAAACTATTTTGAAAATGTTTTTGATGTTTCATACACATTCCTTTCAGGCACGTGATGGTGCAGGCTGATATATTTTTACAAGCTGAGCACTCTCAGTCATGTTAATTTAAAAAAGGAAAACTATGGGGTTGGGAATCTAGTTCAGTTGGTAAAATAAATGCTTTCCTTTTTTATTGTTTTTATTGAGCTATATGTTTTTCTCCACTCCCCTTCTTTCCTTCCTCACCTCTCCCCTTCTACCCTCTCCTGTGACCCCCACACTCCCAATTCATTCAGGAGATCTTGTCTTTTTTCACCTTCCTATGTAGATCTGTTTATGTCTCACTTAGGGTCCTCTTTGTTGTCTAGGTTCTCTGGGGTTGTGGCCTGTAGACTGATTTTTCTTTGTTCTATGTCTAAAAGCCACTTATGAGTAAATACATACTACATTTGTCTTTCTGGGTCTGGGTTACCTCACTCAGTATGGTTTTTTTTTTTTTATAGATCCATCCATTTGCCTGCAAATTTCAAGATGTCGTTATTTTTTCCCACTGTGTAGTACGTCATTGTGTGAATGTACCACATTTTCTTTATCTGTTCTTCAGTTGAGGAGCATCCAGGTTGTTTCCAGGTTCTGGCTATTACAAATAATGCTGCTATGAACATAGTTGAGCACATGTCCTTGTGATGTGATTGAGTGTCTTTTGGGTATATAGCCAACAGCAATATTGCTGGGTCTTGAGGCAGATTATTTCCTAATTTTCTGAGAAATTGCCATGCCGATTTCCAAAACGGCTATACAAGTTTCCACTACCACCAGCAATGGAGGAGTGTTCCCCTGACCCCACATTCTTTCTAACTTAGGCTGTTATCGGTGTTTTTTATCTTGGCCATTCTTACAGGTGTAAGATGGAATCTCAGAGTTGTTTTGATTTGCATTTCTCTGATGGCTAAAGATATTGAGCATTTTCTTAAGTATCTTTCAGCCATTTTAGATTCCTCTGTTGAGAGTTCTCTGTTTAGGTCTGTACTCCATTTTTTTAAAAATTGGATTATTTGTTCTTTTGATGTCAGATTTCTTGAGTTCTTTGTATATTTTGGAGATCAGTCCTCTGTCCAATGTGGGGTTGGTGAAGATCTTTTCCCAGTCTGTAGGCTGTTGTTTTGTTTTGTTGACCATGTCCTTTGCTTTACAGAAGCTTTTCATTTCCAGGAGGCCCCATTTATTAATTGTTGCTCTCAGTGTCTGTGCTACTAGGGTTCTATTTAGAAAGTGGTCTCTGTGCCATTGTGTTCAAGTGTACTTCCCAGGTTCACTGTTTGTTGTTTGTTTTTATGTGCACCGCCACCACCTGGCTTGGACTTGAGTTTTGTGGATGGCGATAGATGTGGGTCTATTTTCATTCTTCTACACGTTGATATTCAGTTATGCCAGCATCATTTGTTGAATATGCTTTCTTTTTTTCCATTTTATATTTTTAGCTTCTTTGTCAAAAATCAGGTGTTCATAGGTGTGTGGATCGATATCTGGGTCTTCAGTTCAATTCCATTGGTCCTCCTGTATGGTTTTATGCCAATACTAGGCTGTTTTCAGTACTGTAGCTCTATAGCAGAGTTTGAAGTCTGGGACTGTGATGCCTCCAGAAGTTCTTTTGTTGTACAGGATTGTTTTGACTACCCTGGAGTTTTTGATTTTCCATATGAA